CAGCCACATTAACTATTATACGTTTTGTAAGACTCCAAAATGAATTACACATCTCCTTTCTTTGTTAAAAAAGCACTTTTTGAGTTGACTTTCCTATCAACTCTGAGGTGGTAGGTCATTTGCTCCTGCACTAACGAACCCCAATGTGGGAGGAGAAAGTCCTCCTTTTCCTATTTCCATCACGGCCACTCACCCCTTCCCATCTTCTGTTCTGAAACAGCTCAAAAGCTAAAGGCAACCGTTTGTGAAGAAAAAGTTTTGGTTTGCACAGCTACTTTTTGGGAGGAGGACACCTGCTTGTAGCAAGCACAGTGTGCATGGGCTTCCTGAGAACTGTGCTGGGAGTCCAGGTTCAATCAACACCAAGGACAGCCTGGCCCTCACAGCCTGGGTCATTCAGGTGACCTGTGCTCCAGAGCACAGAAAGGTACAGATGGGGACATGCGGGGGGGCTGCTGAGTTGTCTGGCTGGGATTGCTGGTGCCCCGCAGAGTTCCTTGGAGACGCTCCTTTGTGAGGCTGAGCAGGATGCCCCAGGGCCCTTCTCCCAGCAGCTGCTGGACCTTGCCACAGCTGCTTAGTACAGACAACACCTCCCTTACAGGCTCTGCTCTCTACTCAGAAGGCCACTCGAGGCTCTTTACATCCTTGACTACATGTTTATTATAAATACAGGCAACTTATGATTCCGAGATCAGACAAGATCAGGCGCATTCAGGGTGGTATGGCCGTAGGCTAAATATGAGCAATTTAAAACAAGTGTACCAAACCCCTCAGGGGACAAGTGGCCGATGCTAGAGCTTTGGCTACTCCCAGAGGCACCCTCAGGCCTCTGCCTCCCCCTGCCTCACACATTGCCTTCCTGACAGCCCAAGGTTCTGAGCAGTGCCCTGGCTTGGACCCGATCCATCTTAGAGTCTGGGATGCCGGGGAAATGGGGACAAGTCCTGAGGTCATCAGCAATGGGGGGGAAGCTCCTTTCTGACCACCCAGCAGGTGGAAGGAGTAAAAAGTGTTATGTGTCCTATACCTCATCCCTTGTCTCAGATTTCCCTAAAGTCTCTGCTAAATCCAGCTCTTCCTTTCCCATCCTGGCATGAATGCATAAGTGCCCCCTTCTTTTTCGCTGCATCCTCTCTTCCTCCAAGCATCCAACTGGGCCCCCGCTCTCCCTTGCAGGCATCCCGAGCCTCTGGGACTGCTTGTAGCCATCAAGCTGGGCCTGGCATTCCTGGTCACAGTCAAGATCTATTGGCCTAGCCCTTCCCAGTCTGACATGCCCAGAGCCTGGCTGTGCCAGAGACCAGGGAAGATAAAAACAGCAGTTTGCTGGGGGCACACCCACCTTGACAATGCAGGCAGAGGAGGACCTGGTAGCTAGGGGCTGCTGTTCAGAACCTATGTCCAGCGGGGCCGACCGGAAGGAGAGGAGGCTTTGGGGGTTGTTTCCTATCCCCCTGCTACCACTGCCCCAGCAGCAGCTCTGATTACCTGCACCAGGAAACTGTCTCAGCCACCAAGGTCACAAAACGAGGGAGAAAAAGACTGCCCACTCTGCTTCTCTAGGCCCACCCTCTCGCCACCCACCCACAGGCCTGCCTGCCAGGTCCCAGGCAGAGGATCGGCTATTAATTATTAAAGCAAACAAAAGCATTTCCTAGCAGGGAGGCTTGCCTGCAGCTGCTTACAGGAAAGGCAGCTCCAGCTGGCTTCCCTCTCAGGGCCCTGCAAGTGCGTTGGAACCAGCTCAAGGGGGAGAGCTGACCTGAGTCTCTGATATGGGACTCACATCAGAATGAGAGGTGAGCTGCTTTAAGAAGAAGACATGGGCCTGAAGGGAAGTCCGGGGAAAGTGGGCTCAGGCTGGTATATGGGTCTCAGAGATAAAGCCCTGTCAGCACAGGGTAGGGACAGTCACTAGGAAGGCCTTGTAGCCTTCTGCACCAGCCTTCCCTGCTGCCCCAGTGTGAGGGTATGCAGCCCCTTTTCTCCCTACCCCTCATTTGCTCATAATTTCCTCTTGGCAGAGCCTCCCTCACTGTTCTTAGTCTCTGGGCCTTCTCCTCCTTCTGTATAACCTTGGCATTGTAAACTGGAGAGCAACAGATGCTCCACTACCCGGTTCCTGGGGTCAGGTAGATCCCGGAGACCACCAATGTGCAAAGGGGAGCCCAACAGAAAGGGATTTGGGGACCTTCTAACACGCACTCCTGCTTCCTTCAGCAGGTGCTCATTGCCCCCCTTTTAACTTCCTGAGCCTGTCCTCGTGCTGTGGACACAAGGATGAACAAACCACCATCCTTGCCTTAAAGGAGGGCACAGGCTGGCAGGGCAATGAAGTCCGGGGCAGGTAGGGCTCAGCTAACTTAGGCAGCACCAAGGGCCATTCCCCTGGGCTGGGTGGGAGGGCACAGAGAGAGAGAAAGTGCTGGGTGGGGCAGCTCCCAGAGGCTGTAAGACTTTATTCGGAGGGTGTGTGGGTGCTGGCGGCAGGGGAATGGTTTCGGGGAACATTGCTGGATGCCAAGTATCATACAGAGGCTGGAAGGCAGTTTGGGGTCATATTGTGATGAGCCTTGAATGCTGAACATCTGGGAAGTAGGGGTTGGAAGGACATGATCAGAGAAAAAGTCTTTGGAACTATTACTTTGGTCCTCTCTGTATAGCAGATGGTTTGCGGGGAGTGGTGAGAAGCTGAGGCTGGGGCAGTGGGCTTGGAGCCTGAGATGGGAAACTGGGGTGATTAACTAACCTTCAGCCAGGGAGGAAAGTGGTGGAGGGCCAGGGTGTGTCACTGTTAATAGTTGGCTGTGGGCGCTGAGATTAGGAGTAGGACACAGAGGAAACATTCAGAACCCTTGACAACCTTGACAAGCGGCAAAGGTGAGGAGAGCATCAAAGACAACTGTCAGATCCCTAGCAGCCTTGCGGGGAGTGCTTCTGGGCAGGTTTCTTGGAGACTAGAGGGACAGGAACCAAGTAGAGGTTGAAGAGGGAGGCAGGCATGGGAAAGGAAGTTTTGTTGTTGCTGTTTTAGGATGGGAAGACCTGAGCAGGAGACTGAGGATCTAGATACGAATGGGAGCGATGCCAGGCCACCTCGGGAAGAATGAGGAGATAGGATTAGCCCGCTCTCCTCTGGAAGGAGGTGGCCCAGAGTCAACCAAATGTGGCGGTGGTGAGGAGGGAACCCGATTTGTGTCCTAAGACAAAGAAGTCTCTGGACTTGGAGATAAGCAACCCAGGCCTGAAGAAATAAATACCTTTTCAAACTGGGGAAGTCATCAGAGTCCCAGCAATGTGGCTCTGGGGACTCAGACTGGGCTCCCCAATACCAGTCAAGACCCCCCCATGTGCAGACAGCACTGCTGGTGGCCTGATCCCCTGGAAGAGCCTCCACCCACACAGGCTACAAGGGCACTGCCTCCTTCACATCTGCTTCCCCTTCATCAAACCTGCTACCTGGGGCTGCGGCGGAGGAGAGGGCCAGAGAGAAATAGGAACCTTAAACCCCCGAGGCCCCACTGAAACTCCCCACACACTATTACAAGAAACACTCATCACACAGCTGGTGGTGGAGAAAAAAAATGGGGCCCCATTAAAATTGACCATTCAAGTTAAAAAAACAAAAACAAAAACAAAAAACAAACAAAAAAAAGAGAACCAACAGAAAAACAGGCAGGATACAGAATTCTATGCATAACACAGGAAAAAACACGTCAATGACAAGAAAGATGGGAAGGAAATACACTAAAATGTTGACAGTAGCTGTATTAGAAAGGTAGGATTTTGTTTTCTATTTTCCAATTTTCTGGAATATAGTTTTATCATGAGTAAAACCATGTGAATTAATTCATAGGTAAGACTCTTTCTTTTCCTGAAGAGATGTGCTCCAGAGAGAGCCCCCCAGTGCTCCTTCTGGACAGTCCTGAAAGGACAGGAGGGCAGAATCACTGGTTGTTTGTGCATGAAACAAGGTGGGTGCCTGTTAAGGGGTGAGGTTGGGCTGGACAGTGAGTGGTGTCCTCTGGACAGGACTGAGGATGTGACTGTGTGGCCTGTGTGACAGACAGGCCTGGTCGTCCCTGGCAACCCCCTATCAGAATCCCTTCAGGCTGCTAGACAAGCAGCTGCTCAGAACTCTGGGAAGCCAGGCTTTCACATGCTCCAGCTGCCCGCAGAGGCAGAACCTCCCCAGTGCTACACCCCTTCCCCATGTTCACAACTGAAGGTACAAAAAACTGGGGGCTCAGGTGTTGTGGGGGCAGGTAAACAAATGTTTAAACTTTCTTTCTAAATCCAGAAGTCCACCTCCCACCCAGCCTCCCTGCACCCACTCCGGCAAAGGAGTCAGAGGAGATGGGAGTGGGTGCTGGGTTCCCAGGGACACCCTGCCTCTCCCGCAGGACCCGCCAGAAAAACACAGTGAGAGGCGGGACCTGACCAGCCCTGCCCCATTTCCAGCCCTAGTCATTCCAGCCAAACCAACTGTCCACCTCGTCTTTCCCCCACTCTTTAGCCCCTAGCCGCTTCTCCAGCCCGGCACATCCACCTTCCAACTTTGAGGGGCGTGGGGAAGCGAAAAGGGGGCTGGGTCTCATGCTTTTCCTTGTAGAGAGAAGCGGAATTGGACCAGGAGAGGCACTGGGACTGCCCAGGAAGGAGGGGTTGGCCATTCCTTGACGGCTGGTGGCTGTGGGGCATGGGTGAGGGACGGCGGGCAGCTGGATACCTCTTTTTCTAGAGTCGTGGACCAGCCCGCCAGCGACAGTCAGAAGTCAGAGCCGGGACAGCCAGGAGTGGAGGCAGAAGCCCCGCCCCGGCCCGCCCCAGCCTCAGGAGCAAGCACAGGTACTTGGGGTAGGGTGGGCAGGAGAGTCTGCCGGGATGGTCCAGAATTAGGGCTCCCTCCAGGCCTCGCTCCAGCAGCTCAGCAAGCTGAGCGAAGGCGGCGTGGAGCCGTCCAACCAGAGCGCGCCGGGTCGCGTCCGAGCACTTACCTCTGCGCTGCGGTGCTGGCGTCCAGGATGCCCGCGCCCTGCATCCAGGAGCGCACCGAGCCCAGGCCGGCAGGCAGCAGCGGCTCCTCCTTCAGGTTCAGCCCGCCGCGGGGCAGAGCGTCCTGCGTAGGAAACATGAGGGCGCGCAGTGGGTGGGCGCCCCCACCGCCGGGGATCCGTTCCCGCTGAGGCTGCGGGCGTCTCGGCTCCACCGGACCCGACGGCACTCGGCGCCTCTAAGAGCGCAGCGCAGCACGGAGTCCCGGCGGCTCAGTGCGCACTAGCCTCTGGGGCGCTCCCTCGGAGAAAGCGGGTCCGCGAGCGCGGGCGCAGTCCCCTCCCCTCCCGGGGCGCGGGGCGGGGAGATGGAGGGATTCCCCCGCGGCCTGAGCGCCGGCGGGCGGACTGCGAGCGGGGCGGGGAGGGCGAGAGCGCAGCCGGCACCCGGTCCGCGCGGAGGCGCCCCAGAGGCGCGCTCTGGCGGCTGCCCAGGGCCGCGGTCGTCNATGCTGCTGAGCTTTGGGGTGATTTTTTATGTGGCAATAGAAAAATAATAGACTATGCTTACTGGACTAGAGAGAGCTTTTGTTGAGGGGCATGGTTTGGGAAACACAACTAAAAGTCACCAGAAGGCTCTGAAGCCAGGCAGCTGCAGCTGGGGAGAGTGCAGCATGCTGGGAAAGTGCGAGGCTGCTGCAGGGAGGCAGAGGAGGATGGTGGGACGTGACAGCCATTTAGACCAGAGTCCTATCATGGACACGCCACTGTGACAATGTCTGCCATAGTCATCACTATTTTTTTCTTCATATAATTTAAAATCAACTGATTCTTATTCAGCCTCATGTGAAGCCACAATATACGGGATGTCATGGGCTTGAGAGGCTTGTTGTGTTTTTGCTCACACAGATTACAGTAAATACATAAACAATAAAATGAAAATTGTTCTTCCTTTGAAAGCCTGCTTGGGAGCCTCAGCGGTCCATGTGAAATGCTGGTTTCAGAGGCAGCAGTGATGGGTCTTGTCCAGATCAAGATGAATGCGTGGGGGTCGGGGTGGAGGGGGAGCCCCACCAACACCTTCTCTTTCCCACAAAAGGTTTTTCTACCCCTGTTCCTTTTTCTAGGGACACCATCCTTCTCCCTTCATCCCCCATCCTTTTTCCCCTTCCCCCTTTCTCCTCCCCTAAGGCTACAGTCCTTTCAAGTTCAGGGGTGGATCCTCCCATTTTCCATTTGCCCAGAGGCAGGGAAGTCTGAAGAGAGCTTTGATCACAGCAGGTCCCTGATTACTGTTGATGAATATGCTAATAAGGGAGCAACCTTGACTCCTCCCTCCTGCCCCCAGGACCACTTAGGGGTAGGGAAGCTCTAGTGGATAGGTTCCAGGACCACCTGGGGGGAGAGCAGGCCAGAAGGGGGCAGGCTTGTAGAGCCATCCCAGATCACTCAGCCCTTTATTCGGTCATCCAGCTTAGGAAAGGTACTGGAAAGCTTTCAGATAGCAGGGCGGGAGGGAGGGTATAGAGAAAGAAAAAGGTCTTAAGGGCGGAAGGGTGGATGCTGGGCAGTAACACAATCCCCTAAACCATTCAACACGCCCTTTCTACACAGACACCCTTATACTTCCCAGGCCAAGAGTAAATCAATGATGCTGGCCTGAGCTTCCTCTCCCATCCATCCCTCTTGGCAAATATCAGTCAGTCCTGGGTCCTGGCTGCCTACAGGCTGCTGTCAGTGTCCTAAGGATTAGACCTGGGAAACCTGGCCTAAACCCCAGGCCAAGCTCCCTCCACAGAGCCCAACCTCCCCACAGGAAGGGGTTCCCCGGGAGAGAGGTTAGGTACCCCTGCCTGGGGTTTGTGGACAATGGTGCTGCCAGCTGGGGAGTATGGAGGGGCTACACTGCCTCACAGGCCTGTGCCCTACCCCACAGTGGGGTCAGGCTGAATTTCAGTTCCCCTAAGACAGCCCAGCATCGTCCTCTCCTCCTGGGCTCACGCCCACCCACACAAAGTGACGGTACAGAAGTGGCTAGTGTGTGGCTCTGAGACAGGATCGCTTGCTATCATGAACAACAACAGAATAATGTAACAGCCCCAGCCTCCCACAGACTGCAGAATGAGCAACTCCCCTGCTAGGCACATCCAGGGCTGCTCCTGGTCTGTCAATTTCTCCACTTTACCCTGTTCAGACGCCTGCCAGACATGTGAGAAGATCAAAGTGAAGTAGAAGGGGTTTTGCTTTAAAGACATTCTAGTATTTCTTACGAACAAGAGAGAGAAAGATACAAGGATCAGCCTATCAGTGAGAGAGCACCAGAAGCTGATCTGGACTATGCCTTCCTTTTCCTGGCTTTTCCCAGGCACCTCCATCCCCAAAATGCAGTAGGTGACCAGCCAACATCCTGAACGGAACTGCAAGCCCCAAAGGGAGAGGGCTGGGGAGGGGAAAGGAGAGACTTTTGCTTTTCTCCCCTTGGGAATAGCTGATGCTCTTGTAATGAGAAAACAAACCACAATTAAAGAACAGAAAGAAACAGAGATACGATCAAACGACTGGGAAGATAGACATGGGATGCAGAGAGGTCTGAGCGCCCTGCTGGGCACATCCTGGGTGCAGATGTGCGGGATACAGGTGGGAGGTGGGGCCATTGTCTGCTTTCACAATAGCTTAGAGACAGACAGATGTGGATGAAGGCCAATGTCTTGGATTCTGTGGTCTTCAAAGTGGGGTTGATGGGGCCGGCCGAGTGGCTCAGTTGGTTAAGAGCTCGTTCAAGAGTGTGAGCTCTGAGCAACAGCGGTTCGATGCCCGGCCCAAGCTGAGCAGCCGTTGAGCTGCCAACAGGTAGCAGGATGGCTCAGCTTAAAACAAAACAAAAACAAACAAACAAACAAAAACCAAAAAACAAAGTGGGGTTGCCCAAGTCAACCACTGGA